GAACTGGAAGAGAGCATTCCATGGGCCCTGACCTTTGGTAAATCATCCCATCTCTCTGAATTCCAGGATGGTGATTTCAGCTCCTGCTTTATGGGACGGCAGTAAGGGTCAAGTAAAGTGACAGCCTGAAAAGCACTTTATAAATTATAAAGCATTGTAACAGACAAAGATTTATCATGGCTATGTCGTGAACTTGCTGATGTTCTTAAAAGGGCAATAAGCGAATAGAAGCTTTTTATATCTACCAACCCCCACGACTCTGAAAATAGAATACAATAAACAGTGGTCAAGAGCACAGACACTTGAGGTCAGACATCAGAATGTAAGTCCTGGCCCTGCCACTTGCTAGCAAGGTAACCCTGGGAGGGTTAATGAACCCTTATGGACCTCACTTCCCTCATCTCTAAAATGGGAATAAAGAATAGTCTCTTTCTCCCAGACTTGGTGTGAGCATAAAATGGTAACGCATTTACAAAATGCTTAGCAGACAGTGCAGTCATGTTTACCATTGTTGTTCCCTCCTCGCGGAGAATAGGCTCTCAGACTCTTAAAAATGCAGCCAAGAGGCCACACATAAATCCCGCCCCCAAAAGGCTGGGTGGGAGCCCTGGAGAAAGTCCTCCACCTCTAGGTAAACATTTAGGGCAATGGCTCTGAGAGGACCCTGGGGCTTCATATTTCACCTAGAGCGGGCAGCAGTTGGAGCAGCTGCTAAATTAGAGGAAAATGTTCTTTGTAAGGATAGGGAACCTGCAGCTGACCTGCCGAGTGGTTCTTCAGATACAATCCCAAATCAAGGCCCCTCTGGGGAGAACCATGTGTGCAAATGAACCTCAGAGAATCTGCTTTGCTTTCTTTTACACTCTGCAGTGATTAGGCGTCATTTGCCACTCATTCCAGGGGGCAGACTCTCGCAAAGATGGTGAATTATATCGGCCTCAGGGGGAGGAACGTACCCCTGCCCCCCACCCCCACCCCCATCCCTCACTGGGTGTTTCCTACGAGACAAGGGCTTTAGCTCACCAGTGTGGATGAAGGTGTGTTTTTTCATGTCTGACTTCTGATGGAACCTCTTGCCACAGTACTGACAGGGGTAGGGCCGGGTGTCTGAATGGATGAGGAGGTGTGTGGACAACGTCGATGACCTCTTAAAGCTCTTGCCACAGATCTTACAGTCAAAGCTCCTTTCCTGTGGAGAGAAAAGTGTGGCCTTCTGCTTGCAGTCATCTAGGCTGCCATTCTGCTTACCACGGACCTGACTCAAAACCAGGGCTTCCCCTTCTCTCAGACTCCCTTTCCGAATGGCCTGAGCCCCGTATCCTCTCCCTTCCCATTCATGTCCAGCCTCTACCTTCCCCACCCCTCTCCTCTTCCCCTTTAACATTTTTTCTACCCAAACACTTTTCACCCACAACCCTCCACGCCCCAGGGCAAAACTGTATCCCCACCCTGCTTTTTTGACACCCATGTATAATAACTTCTCCACCCTCTTCAACAGGAGGCTTCGACCTCAGTCACTTGAGATGCCCCTTCCCTCCGGCCAGCCGTGGGTGTTGAGAGAGATGAGAGAGTACTCTTTTCAGTAAATTAGTATCTGTAAGTAAGCACTGTTCTGCCATAGTTAACTTCGCACTACTTTGCTTATCTACCTTCTGTCTCTCGGCTAAACTGTAATCTCCGTGGGGGCATTGTGTCAGGGACCCGTATGTTATAGCACTCGCATGTGCCTAGCACCTGTAAGTTGAGCGACAAATATTTTAAACGAATCAATGAAAGCACAGTAGGACAAGTATGCTACTGGATGCTCTAAATGGCCTGGGGTCAATGCAGATTAGCTGAGAGAATGAAGCCAAGCGAATAAATCCGACATATCAGCAGCAAGGGTGCATACAAACGCCCTCAAACTCAAAGTAATGATGGGGATCACGCTCTGGAGGCTCCCAGTGACATGACACCAAACTCTAGGGTTGCCGATGCGGCCGGCCACCCACATTTTCCTACCCACCTAGGCAAGGGGACATGGCCGAGGAGACGGGGCAGCCCGGGATATCGAAAGAGAAAAGCACCAGGTGGAGAGGGGCCGGTGCTGCAGAGACCTTGAGGACCTCCAAACGCGAAAGCCTAAGCAGGATCGTGCGAGGCCGTCGTGCGCCCCCGCCCCGCTTACCTGTGAGTGCACGGCTTTGTGCTGCTCCAGGCTCACCGCGTGCCCGAAGGTCTTGCCGCATATCTCACACGCAAAGGGCCTCGTGCCGCTGTGAGACCTGCGCACGTGCACC